TGAATGAACGCCTCACTCAGCTGGAGAATTCGATGCGCTCCAGGTTGTAGTCCATAGAGGACAAGATGGCGGCTCTGCAGTCGAGCAACTTTGCAGGATATACGAACTCGAGGAAGAGAAGACGGGTGAACAACGCCACGCTAGCGGTAAATATATGTTCGATTACTGGTAGCTATGCTAAAAGCAGCCTAGCTTAGCTAGGCAAGCTAAAGACAACCTAGCCTAGCTAGGTAAGCTAAAAGCAGCCTAGCCTAAAGCTTTATTAAAGTGTATTTTTTGTGATTCACAGGAAGCAATATGCCGTCTTAACAACTCGGAAACTAATTGCAGGCGCTATGAACCGGAGCAGGGGTAAGGTTTAAAGAATATGCGGTAAAAGGACATGGATACGGATGGATACCGACCATAGCTGTACTTTTTTTTTTTTTTTCACAGACTACAGTCGCCTCACAATGAGGCGGTGACCTCCTATTTGCTCGGATTTGCACGATGTTGATAAAGACGACATTGTGTGTAAGTGACTTGTTTTAATGTTTTCTCCTTCCTTGTTACTGTGACTTGCGTTTGATTTTTTTTTTTATTCATACCACTCTCATTTAATTGTTTTCCAGCTGCCTGTAAGACGTATTATGAGACGGTATGCAGGAGCTTCAGATACACGCTGCTAGCCAGCACGCTGCGTGCGGAGGCCGCCAGGCTATCTGCTCGGAGTCGGGCCAGAAGAAAGAGAGTAAGACTTTATTTGGTGACTATTTTTCAGGTGCATTGATAGATGTGTTGTGTCCATATGCAGTGCGCTGATTCATTGTTTTTTTTTTCAGCTGCTGAAGGCGAGGCAGAGTGTGCTATCAGATGAGGAAGTGGAACTCTGTAAGTCCGCCACCGTCGACCTCATGTCCGACGAAGAAGATGGCGTCGTCGGCGGTGTCTCTGGATGGATTGTACGGTCGCCGCCATTTCGTAGGCCGGATCTCACTGAACTCTGTGTTAAGCTGCAGTCCCGGTTAGAAGCGATGCCGAAGTACAGGGCCACGCACAGTAGGCGTCTGCACATCGGACCTGCCTCGGAGGGAATGCTGCCTGTTACCTCCAACCCCGAGGAAGCAAACGGACCGTTCACGGAGTTGTAATTTTTAGATACGCATGTGTTTGGATACGCGTTGTATATAGTTGGGTGTGTTTTAATAAAGCTCTTTCTTTGCATAAACAGCTTCCTGGCAAATCTTCATTTCCTGTATAAATTCATTCATGTCCTTGATGGTAGCATAATAATTGTGTCGTAGTGTAGGATAACATAAATACACAGCATATGAATGAATAAATATATGAATGAATAAATATATGAATATATATATATATATATATGAATGAATAAATATATATATGAATAAATATATATGTAAATATATATATATATGCCAACCAATCACGAGCGACTTTACTTGTTTAAAAGGAAGCGGTTCCGTCCAATACTCAGTAAGAAAATTAAAGCCTGGCGTGGCCACGTGTGGTTTTGCTGCCAATCACGAGCGATTTCACTTGTTTGAGAATAGTGGTTTCAGCCAATACTGAGAAGGTTATTCAAGCCAGACCTGGCCAGCCGCGCGGGTTTGCTGCATTCATATGCTAATTAGGGCCATTAGTACAGCTGATCGCTCTCCACATACGTCAGAGTCCGTTTCCGACAATTTGTGGCACGACAAACGCGGACAAGCACGGGTTGCAAATTGTCGGAAACTGACGAAAATCAGGCAGATCTGCGGGAGTTTACGGGGGTTTACGGGGACGAAAATCTCACTTTTCATGCAGTGTAAGTGAAGAAAACTAATAATCTTTTCCAAGACTGTAGGGATTATGATACCATGCATGGTAGTATATTTCTGACCTGTTACTGTCTGTACATCAATTTTCCAAATGTCCCAAACAACCAGGACAACCTATGAAAAAAAAACTATTGAATTTAATGAAGAAACTCAGTCAGGCCTTGGTAATTTTTCTGTGCAAGCTCTGCACTGGTGGAGATAAAGGTCTGTAAATGACAGCTCTTAGGGTGACCCTTGTAGTCTAAATTGAAATCTTAAATATTTTTGCGAATCCAGAAGTAAAAGGCCGTAATTACAGTAAAAGGGATGACTTATCCTTTAGATATTTTCTATTACAGTAAAACTCACCAAAAAAAAAAATAAAAAAATTCTCACCTCTGTATTTGCAGCATATTTAATAGAGTGCCTACGTTAGCTTATTGATAAGGAATATGAACTGGTTCTCAAATGTCTCCTTACCCTTATTGAATTGCAAGGCTATTGTAATTTAAAAAAGGCATTGATAATTGCTTGGAACACCTACCTAAATATGAGATTTATTTCGTATAAATACACTAAAAAAAATAAAGATTTGTAAGATGGTAAAGAATGCATAAGGGTATAGTGACCCTCTTGCAAATTACGAAACATATACTTTTTTAATCAAGTTTGATGACTGAACAGAAAAAAGGCTATTCCCGCCATTTGCATCTCTGCATACTGTAGCTAAAGCTATATACTGCAAGATGGTTATTAAGGATAAAAAAATTATCATTTTACAAAGGTAATAGCCTTGCTAGGATGGATGGATGGATGGATGGACGGATGGACGGACGGATGGACGGACGGACGGATGGATGGGCAACTCATTTAATATCTCGGTTAACTTGCTGGAAAGTTAATGCTGGCCATTAACACCCCTGGTTTCTTCCTGTGGTGAAGCTCGGATGCTATTAACTGCATCCATGAACATTAAAGGGACCTCACTGTACTCCCATGGTCTCCACAGTTCCAGATGTTACCCTAAAGACAACCTTTGAAGTTTTTTGGATTAGATATTTGCATCATGGCGGTATTACAAATCAACTACATGATGGCATCCTTTCAACATGCACTTCCACCTCAGAAAGAGATTCTGATACCCTGTATCCTTCATGGCATATATTCCATTGGATCCACACCATGAAGGATTAAGACAGTTCAAGTTGTAGTCAACAGGAGGCCAGTGAAAGTAGGTCAAAAGATGAAAACTTTTTTTTTTTACCTTTCTGTGTGCTCTTTTTCTATTAATAGCTTGTATTGCTAGTTTTTGTATTTTGGATAATAATGTGTCTTCTGTTTAGGTATTTTCTCATTTGTGAGCGTTAATACTTAGGAATTCTCTCTGTTTGCTTTTCTGTGTTTTCTACTTACCTACAGTACACTGCTGGCTTGCATCCTTGTCAAGGGTTATGGATTTTATTTTACAGTGCTTATCCACATTGTTTAAGTTTTTATTTTTTTTGTAACTTGTCTATTCCAGTCTGCCTAATGCTTCATTTGATTTGGATTCTTGCAACACAGTTTATGGCAATGTATGCCCAGAGGAGCATCTGTCTGGAGAGGAAAGTGTCGGTTTCATTCACAGATCATTTACTTCTGCAACCTGATCTCAGATATGGCTGGACGGAAGACGGGATGAATAGATGGATGGATGGATGGAAATCCAAATATCAAGCAAGCAAAACTAAAACAAAAGTGTCAAAAACAAAACAAGAAATCATTAACAATAATTAAATATTGCAATTAAAAGAAAGATAAAAAAGCAAAACAGCAGAGCAAGATACAATCATGTAATAATAAAGACACAAATCTCATACAACCTCAATAGCAAAAAAAGTGTGTTTTAAAATTTTAAAAACAAGCATGGGTTTTGTCAAAGTTTTAAACTCCGGTTACTCTGTGGTCTACCCTTACCATCCTGCAAGCTGTTTTGGTTTCAAAGAAAGACTCAGGTTCTCCTCCAGCCTTTTTTTTTCAACTCATCAAGTTCAATTCAATGGAGGCAGAAACTATAGAATAATACTTCAAATAAACTTTACCTATAAAAGTTAATATAGAAATAAATTCAGGGGAGTGGCAGACTTGTGGTCAGGCCATTGCGCAAAGCAATACAAAGGTTCTGAGTTCAAGCCCCACTCCCACAGACTGCCACTCTGGGTCCCTACGCAAAGACCCTTAACTCCACAGTGCTCCCCGGGCACCGCACAATGGCAGCCCACTGCTCCCCCAGGTGATGGATTAAATACAGAGAAGTGGTTTGGGCATTGCAGTTGGAATCCAGAAGTTCTGGGTTAAATGCAGAGAGTTCATTTTATAAATAAATAAAAAGGAATAAAAAGCTGAAAAAAACAAAAACAAAACAATATTACTAAATGTGAAATATGCGATTTTAAATATCTATTTTTCTTTTTTAAAAACAATTCAGTATAAGGCAATGTTGCTCCAATTAAGAACTCAAAAACATCATAATAGGCGGCTACTTTCACTCTGGACATGATAAAATACAGCTGACCAATATCAGTTAACAGAAGACACAGACCCATAAGTCATCACCCTGAACCTTAAGCAGCTTGGATATTATGCCTCTCCTCCTTTAGCCCAGACTCTGGAATCAATGTCTTCCCAGTGTCTGGGCAAGCCAACAGAAAGGTTTATTATCTATTAAGGTACTTGAAAACCCCCCCTTCCCACCCACATACATTCATACTCAACTAAACTTTCCATTAGATTTTTGGATAAAGCAGCATTTAATATTTACATAACAGACTATAAAATAAATTAATTAGGCTGTAATTAATAGTTATTAAAGTCAACACAAACACTTGAATTTTAAAACACAATATAGTGAGTTTAACTCAGACTCAGTAAAATAAGTTTACTTTATTCTTTTTAAACTCATCTGAAGGGGAAACTCTTAATTTAAACTCTAAGGTTGGTCCTGTCTAAATAATGACTTGGAGCTACAATCTTTTATTAGACAACAATAACAAAAAAAAGTGAAAATTTTTGGTAAAGTCAGACTGGAGGTAGTTTGCTTAGTGGTAGACAGAGGGATGTCCTAAAGAGCGATGGTGGATGATCTGCTGTCCGGGGATGAGTTTGTAGGCGGTGGGGAGGTTTTTTCCTCCTCCTCCTCCTCCTGTGTCCCTCGGTGTGTTGGGGCTCGGTGAGAGGCCATAGGGGCGTCACACAGGGCTGGTCTGAGCGTTTATTAGCCCGGGGATCCAGGCTCCAGGCTGCTTCTCACTGCAGCGGCGGAGGGCTGTCCGTCTACTTCGCCCAAACTTTCTGGAAACTCACTGAAGAGACCAGAAACGCACTGACAAAGTGTCGCAACTCGCTTCACTCCTAATTGAAACAATCTACTTTAAACCTTAACCACAGCCTGCAAATTTACTTTTTTTTTATTCGAATAAGCCTCACGTTTGCGCACTTTTCTTTTTTTCTTTATTTTTCCGCTTTTTTTTTCTTTTGAAGTTTAACTTGAGATAAAGCCCTTCTCTGTTATTTGAGCCCCATAATGGCTGTTTTATCACTAGCTTTTCTGCTTGTAGGATTTGTTTTGACTTCAGCTGAAAAGGTAAGTGTCTGCACATGCTCGCCGTTCACTGACAGACTGCGGGGTTGATATTTATTTACATTTTATTTATTTGCTGTTGGCTTTTTTTTTTGGGAGCGTTTGTTGTAAAATGGATACAGCTGTTAAGCAGAGAAAAAAAAAGGGGGAGCAGCAGTTTTTAAAAAAGTTTCCCATCTCCTCTGTAAACACTCACACTGCGCTCTCTGTGCGCTCAGTGTTGACACTGCGCCACGCATGGATTCAGCCTGTCACACATGCGAGCCTCTATCATACAGGCATTTTTCTGTTTCAGGCTCCTTTTTTTCTTTTTAGGTCAATAAACCGCTGTCCTGCCAGAGGTGGAGGGAGCTTTGCGACAGGGGAGTGCTAACAAGTTTAGAAATGTGAAAGATAACTCAGGAAACTTATGTTAACTAAGTCTGAGGTAATAATTGTGAAAAAAAGTGAGCAAAAGGCAGTATATAATGCATTTGGGCGTCTAAAAAGAGAAATTATTTTACTTTTGAAACATCAAACCCTGATATCATTGCACAACATGACAAAAATATATATTATGCAGCTAGAAAGTATGTCAATTGTTGAAAACCTTATGGATGGCTCTATAATATATATTTTTTAGCTTTTTTGTTGTCATTACGCTGTCACAAGTACAGAGCAATGAAATTCACTCTCTGTATTTTAAACCATCACCTTTGGGAGCAGAGGGCTGCCATTGTGCGGCGCCCAGGGAGCAGTGTGGGGTTAAGGGTCTCTGCTCAGGGACCAATGGCGTAACGACACAACAATAGACCCGTAAGCAACATTATCTGGGTGGGCCCCATATGAAGAACAATACCCCATCCCCTCCATCACTGTAGCAGCAACATCCACCATTCCCTCTTCGGTTCTTTGAAAGAACGTGTTTATTTAGGGAATTTTTTTCTGTTCTTTCAGCACCTCTGCTTATTCTTTTCTGGAATCCACTTAAGTACCTCTTTTTGGTATCCATTGTCGCTAACACATTGTACATAAAGGTTATGGTTTTAATCTACACTCTGGATTACCCATAATTCCAAGTCATAGTGTAAAAATACATTGTTTCTTTAAGATCTTTATTGCGGTTTGAAACATATTATATGAGTGTATTTTTTACCAATCGTCTGATGAAACATACACAGTTTATTAACATAGCAATTAAAAATACCACTGTCTGCTTTGCTATTGGTGTCGAGTTTAAACGGCTCACCATGATGTTGAAATCTGCCATGTGTTGGGGTATAAATATAGTCCAGTCAGACAATCAGCATCAGGTGGGTAAAATAGGAATTTTTCGCACCATTACATCTGCAAAGAGACATCCTACTCCAGTATTGCGTAGGGGGCCAACCAGGAATCAGTGACGGGGCCCCTAAGAGGTAGGGGGCCCCTAAGCAACTGCAGTCTCTGCTTACCAATATTTACGCCATTGCAAGGGACCCAGAATGGCAGTCCGCGGGAATCCTTGAACCCAGAACCTATGGATTCCAAGCTCAATGCCCTAACCACTATATTATACAGAGCAGTTATACAGAGGAAATTTGGCCATGCTGAACATCGTCTTACCATTTATTAGACATGGACTGATATAAGTTTGGTGAGACCTGTGCCAATACAGATTATATTGACATCAATCCCCAATATTTACTATTCATTTTTTGTTTTTATATTTCTAATTAGGTTGATTCTATAGATTGCCATTGTTTTCTCTTCTCTTTTTACATGAGAGAAATGATACATTGATAATCAATGTTACGCAAGTCACGGCTTAAATAAAAATAAACCTTTATTAACAAATAAATGAAAGAATAATAGCATTGGATAGCTAATAGGGGAAACATCGACACATGTGCCTTGTGTGATCTTAAGGCACCACAGCTGAATGCTTGAATGAATTGGTAAAAAAAAATGCATGTATCTGCTCATGAAAAATATGCTAATATTGGCATAACATTGCATCAGGCTGTATGGATCTATTTCTAGAATATATATACCTTTGGTTGAGATACAGTTAAGGTGTTGTAGTTCTTGTTTTCAACAGTAGGCAAGAGAGATAGAACAACACATCAGCTGGCTATTTTTGGCTGGCCCTAACACATGTCTTGTATCTGCATCGGCATGTGTGACATTGTGGACCTGTCACTATGCCTCTGACTGATCATGCATCCCAGCTACAGTACTTAGCCACAGGGATATCCCTCCCTGACTGGTAGGCACGCATGATTTTCACCTGAGAGTCTGTGGGATCCAACCCCACTTGGGCCCTTCGTTGCATACCTTGCCACACATGCAGATGTGTGCCTGCATTCGCCGTTTCATTAGTGCAGTCAGTGTGTGCCTTTTGCTGCTTCCTCAATTTGCTGTTCATTGTAAATATGTTATCTTTGATTTGCTGATAAATATTTATTAGAGTAATCATACTACATAGAGATACGAGTGTATTAAGCCTTTTCTAACATTCTAATAGTAATAAAAAAAAGTATGATTCCTGCTGACATCGTATCAGATTAATATCAGTACAGGTCTAATCTCAAAGTTGCAATACTGGTATTGTATCAGAAAATAGAAGTATTGAAACGTTTTATCATATAAATAAGGAATAGAAGCCATATCAACTCTAAGAATCAGCGCCCAAAAAACTGTCCGTTAATATACGCTCCATAAATTGCATTAACACACAAACACCATTCCATCTACCGTACTTATTGCTAGCATGTCTTTTTCTATAACTTTACAAACGTCTTATGTCTGTCATCACATCCTCCTTTTTGAAACACAGTAGAGAAGATATCCATTACAGCTAAATGGGCGGTGCTTAGATGATAACTTAAGTTTATCTAATTTTTATATTTGCAAACAGACAAAGGACATATATATGCAAATCTAAGAGCGTAATTCCAAATGCATTGACAAAGACATTGATATAAAAGTAGAAAACTGGTTTAATTTAATAAGGATCCATTAAACAGAGTAAATGAACCAGAAACAAACATGTATAGTTTCTAACCTATTAAGATTCATTTGAATAATTAAGTTGTTATTATTAAGTATTATCACAACATAATTATGACAGATAAGATAAACAAATCAGATGATATCCTATGAATATCTGTTACATCTTTCAAAAATGTATAGGTATATAAATCAGATGTCCTTGAAAAAAGAGTTCTTTATGAAGTTTGCCTTCCGTCTCTGCTTACAAGTGTCTCTGTTCTTCTCTCAGTGCTAACTGGTGTGATACTAATGATCTCTGAAGAGTGCAGCATGTTTCAATTGAGGGACAAATTGAGGGACAAAGCTTTGGTCATCAGACAAACTTTAAAAAAAGCATAATGAAACAGTACCTATTCCGTCCAACTGGAGCCCTTCTTCCAAACAAAGCTTTTTTCGTCTTGTGGTTCATTGGTGTCTGGTGATCCACAAGGAAGACTTTTAAAAATGGCAGAAATGTTTTATTTTATTTTGGAAGTCACACTATTCGGCAACCAGATCGCTGGTGCTAGAAGAAGTGTGTAAAGGAGAAGTTCCATCCACCAATTATGTCCCCATGTGTCATTTCTTTTTAGAAGGTTTTCACAGTTCTGTTAAATTATCAATAAATACTGGATTTCACCCAGTTTTATATTGATCCATGCAAAGGACATATTTTGCTGCATCCTTCACACTAACAATAAAGCACATTTTATTAATGTTTGTAAAATGGAAATCCTTTCCATTTCGGACTTGCTGCTGCCAAAACAGCCATGCTTCCTGTGTGAGACCAGATTAATTCACCTCTGTGGGGAAAAAAACAGATTGTGATTGAATAAACAAAACAAAACTGTAATGCAAAATCCAAAAAGTATGGCTACATTCAGTTATGATTGAATTTCTTCAAAATTTTCAACCCATCTGAAACTGTTGTTGACAGAGCCAGTGCTTCCATTTTTGCAAACAACTGTTTCTTTGCAATACCTTATACTAGGTATCCATTTGGAGGTCATGGGAGTCTCACCTTTCTCCACATAACTCTACCCTTTACTCATTCATTTGTCAAAGTCATTTCAAGGATGTAATTTGACTCTAGAAAATCTACACCTGTAATAAGTGGGAGAAATTTGAGAACAATCAGTCTCAGCCTCAGTCTCCTTCAATAGGCCCAGGCACAGAGTACAAACGAGTTGCACACTGAGCTAACAGAACACATGGACCATTAAAGAAGGAAAAAACCCAATTATCCTTTATAAAATTGATAATAGGTCTGGCTGTTGTTTGCCTGCTTGATGTAATGATTGAAATCATGACATCCTAAATTGTCTCCCTATTGTTGGTTATTGGTAATTATATTATACAATTAACAATTGTTTAATAATCTTTGGGCAAAAATTGTTTAGGTGATGTGAAATCTGCTAATCTGTTAGCTTCCATCAATCTCACCACTGCATCCTGCACGGAAGATCATTTAAGCGTTCACTTTATCCTTTTTCCATAGTCCGTAAGTGGCCACATATCTTTTACATCCTCTGCTTAAAAATACATTTTTTGTCTAGAAATAAATTTTTTAACTTTTGAGTCAAGCTTAGCCCAGTGAATGGCTTAATGATGATTCTTAATTTACCATTTTTAATGTAAAAATTGGCATATCACTATTTTATATCTAATTGCTGTCATTTTCTACATGATTTTAAGTAATTAGATGTTAATTATTTTCATGCTTTGACACAATTAACGACCTGTTTCTTTTTTCTCTTACAGGCTGGTGACGTAGACAAAGAAGGTAAGATCTTTGGAAAGTAAATGGACGTTTTTATTAATGTCTATACTATTGAAAGATTCAGAAGGAAAATTGCAAAGAGATTAAAGTGGATGGACAGTGAATGACTGGAGTAGTTCTGTGATACACAAGCAGAGTTTGACTCTTCCATACACAATTTTAAAACAACTGTTTGAACGGCTTTGTTATACAGGAAAGAGAATTCCGCCTCTAAATCCTGCACATCTGTTCTCCATTCTGAGGTTAAGGAGCAAGTGAGCTGCCTCAGAGTCCACGTAGGATCCTTTTACGCTTGTAGTTATCTCCTGAAAACCTCCAGGGCCCTCGCACAGCAGGACGGCATTTGTCTGTGGTTGAGCATTTGTGGCTGCCTGTTGCTTTTAGTCTGCCACTGTTGGCTCAACGTGGCCATTATCAGGCTTGTTAAGCAGCCACTGCTCTCATTACATGTGGTTTCTGCTTAACTTTTTCACCTTTTTTTCCCTTTAATGTTAAAACCAACTGAAATCCTTACCAACCTCTTGTAGGAGCATAATTGCACAGGGCCTGTTTAATAAATCAAATCATAGGATAGTAAATTCTAATGTTGTGGTTAGGAAAAAAAAGTTAAATACAAAAATTATTACAAAATTAGCAGTTAAAAGTTCAATCAGAGCATAAAGTTCAAGCAGTTACTTCATTTTGTTACTGTTCTAAGGGCACAAACAACCAAGAAAGTTTTAATAACAATCTGGGTAAAATGTCAGTAGATTATTGCACTATTTTGTTTTATAATTTTGTATATGAAACATACTTAACAGTAAATGGTTAACTTAGTACAAGTGTGTAAAATGAGTAGAGGACATATCTACTTAATTTCAATAGTGGAATCTGCAAAACAGAAAAGTTCAACATTTAATTTTAATTCATTTAATCAGTAGGGAGAAAAATGTAGTTAAACAGAAGCAAAGGTGGCAGATCTATTGGCACCCATTCTGATAGGAGGACAGTACTTAGCTTTCTGCTGTGACATTTAATGATACTGAAACAAAGTGAAGGTGATAGAGAGATGTGCAAACAGTAATGTTCAGAGTGGGTCCTCTCTGCTGCTGTTTTTCTTCCTTTGCTCTGCCTACAGATAGGAAAGGATTTACGTTTTTGGGACTTATAGGGTCGCAAAGGAAGTTTGCTTTTGTGTCTTGTGTTCAGTTTCTGTGTTGATCTGATCTCTTTTGGATCATCATCCTGCTAAAAAGAACAGTGAAGACCTATTCTTCAGTGTTTTGGTAGAGTCAACACTATTGTTTATAAAAACTCCAGATGCAGTCAAACAAGGTTTACAGGCCCAGATAATAAGTGACCCTTCACCCACCACAGTTGCTGCTCTCTAAACTTGAAGAATTAGTTTTGGACCTATCGTTCCTTCCTCTTCTAAACTTGGGACACTATTTGACTTTTGTTTGTCACACTTTTGTTTGTTTTAAGCTCTTTAATTATGGTTCTTCGAACATGTGATTGTTAGTTGAGGAGCTGTTTCCTGTCTATAAAGATAAGGTCACATCTGCTTTACTTAAATGGCATGTTCTCTTTTTACTTTCCCAGGGTTGCAACTTGCCACCAGAAAAAAACATCAGTTATTTAAGCTTTGGAATTTATATTCTCATTGCTTTAGCAAAACTGAACATTTGGAGATATACAACCTTTAATCTGAGAAAGTTATTCAATGGGTTTAAAAAACACAAACAGTGGTGTAATTGGACCCTCCATCTCACAGCGTTACGTTTTCTCTTCTGTGACACATTACATTTTAGATAATTCAGAACAATTTTATCTTGTATTTTATTAAATATTAAACCTTAATATTATGTCACGTGATAAACTTATTCAGTAATTTTTGTCATATCCTTGATGCAGCACTTACAGAATCCTAAATGATAAATTATAACAAACACTGCTTTTCTGCAACATTAACTGAGTTTGGCACGATTTTAACTCTTTACCTGCCTAAGGTTGAAGGAGCATCACATTAGGGGTGCCTAACTTCAGTTGTTATGAACTATTATCATGCAACTTTTGGATGCATCCATTCTCCACACCCTGGAATCCAATGAATATTTTATTTTTCTTTACCAGGACTCTGCAGTTCTGAATGAGATGCTGATAAGGGGAATCAGCCATTTGATTCAGGTGTGCTGGAGAAGCAAAAGATCCAGAAATTGCAGGAAAATGTAACTTAATGGCCGGTAACTTCAGTCGGTTTGAAAAGCACATGATTCAGAGGGATCAGTTTGGCCCACCTCAGTCACAAGGCAAGGAATTAAATATTATTTTATTATTGTTGAAAGACTATTTGTTAGACTTTTGGGTGGATATTTGATGCAGATGGGGTTCTTGTATTAGCTGCTCCTTAAAAAGTAAAAAGAAAAAAAAAAGCCCAAAAGCCCAGATTTGAAATCTCTTTGTTAAAAGCCAAGTCCATCGGGGAAGTCATCCTTTTTATTTTTTCTCTTCTTTTAAAACAATATTATTCTCATATTTAAGACGCTTTTATCAGGAATCTATCAGCAAATATGTTTAGCACATTGTATATATGCTCTCTCTGCTTGCCCTACACTTCTCCTACAGTGGGGAAATTCAGGTGTGTCAGCAGAAAAGCAATTAGGCAGTGAAGGCATACAGTATATTTATACTCAGGTATATAAAATATGAAACAGAACAGAAATCCAATGAAGATAAGTATGTGTTTTCTTAAATGGAAAAGAAAACCAGACCAAAAAGGTAAAGTGTAAGTAATAAAAAGAAAATACCTCATGAGGCAACAAAGGCTGCTAGGGATTTCTGTTAAGAACAACTTTTACCTCATTTTGGATGTTTTTTTTTTTTTACTTGGAAGGTTGGTTTATGTCAAAATGTCACTTTTTTACTGCTACTGCAATGGAATAAGGATTTTACCCATCACTGGTTCCAATAAGTTCATCCTCCTCTTTATGTTGGTAAAAAAAAAAAAAAAAATCATGGACAATTTTCTATCTGTTTTAAGATAGTTTAAACAATAAATCCTGGGTTTGGATTATGTTACAGATCCATTCTATCCAGCTGTTAATTAGGTTTATTTAGAATATGTGGATGTGGATTGCATGGATTCCTTCAAAAGATGCTGTTTTGGTACCACAGTTTCAAAGTACTTCAAATCCTTTTGGAGATGGGTTAAGATTGGATTTAACATCCTCTGATTGAGAAATATCTTTGTTGATGGAGAACTTTTGAACAACTGTGGAGGAGGCAGCAGAGAAATCCATCACAGCAGATATAGGGCTGCATATTTCTCATCTCATCCCCCTTTGGTTGCAGGAAAATGGATAGACCGGCATGCCTGTATAACATGACTTATTGAATTTTTTTCTTTTTACAGAAAGTAAAAAGGAATAAATGGATGCTGAGAAACAGCTAAATGTTTTAAAGCTGCATTTTCCTTGACAGTGAAAATTGCTTAAAGATCCAATTGTCTTCTTAATCTTTATGATAATATCTATTAGGGATCCAGGTAATGGATTAATTCAATTTAGTTTATTTATATAGCGCCAATTCACAACACGTCATCTCAAGGCGCTTTACAGTTCACCAGATCATACAGTCAAACTGATTCAAAGTTTTCTATCTAAGGAAAACCAGTTGATTGCATCAACTTGTTTACTCTAATGCAATCCCTCACACTACAGTAAGCATGCTTGTAGCAATAGTGGAGAAGAAAAACTTCCTTTTAACAGGAAGAAACCTCCAGCACAACCAGGCTAGACTGGATTCTGGACTGGATTCTGGATCAGGTTTCTGTTCTAGCATGCATCTGCTCTGGCATTACTTCTCTTGCAAATACTAGTCAGACTCTGCTTAAGAATGAATAGCAGCACCTTCTAGTGGATAGCTGTAAAACTGCAACACTGAAATAAATTCTATCTAAGCAGATGCTATCAGTTAATCCCGTGAAACAAATAATCTAATAAACCATTAAACAACAGTTAATTTTTAGATGAATATTTGTTTACATCCCTATTAGGTATTTGGATTTCTGTGTTGCATAGATTCAACTCAGTTTTGCCAACTCTTTTGAGTGCATAGATATTGTATATTTATAAAGATTGTTGTCAGCTGTCAGCTTGCGATAGGTACTGTTTCAATTTGAACTGATACACTACCAATGCCCTGTACCCTGATATTGGTTTTAGAACTCAGCCGAACCAATGTTCCGTACCATGCTAATGTCTACTTAAACATTAGGCTTACCAAGCCGCAGCAGATAAAGATGATAATGCGGCCACTCTCATGTTTTTGCTGCAACATTGGTAACTGTAACGGGTTCAGGAAATTGTCTCTCAACAACCACAAGGAAAATCTTGTGCTTAACCTCCTTCCTCAGATCAAAACTTCAGGTCACAAATACTTAATCTTCTAATAAGCTTCATCATATATTGAAATCAGTAGCCGTCCTCTCATTTGCTTTATATAACCCATGCTTTCTTACTTTGGTGTAGCAGCAGCTTCTGACCTCACCTTCATCATCACGTTTTTGTGCATGCAGCAAAACATGATCAATCAAACAATTCTTCCTGAAATGTGGCCCTGGTGTACATAAGTACTTGGGCTTTTTGGAAACCATTATTTATTGATCTAGCACGGGCAGGACTGTGTTCCCCTTTGCCAGATAGCGTTGAGGAAATACATCCATCTGCATTTCATGATTCTAGGCAATAATGTTGCCATGTCAAAACAATTTGGTTTTCGAAGGCCTAATGTATTTTATTTAATGTCATAAATTATCTGGGAAACAGAATATTTGGCGTTCAACAGTTGTTAGTAGAGATCATGCAAACTGCCAGAGATAGAACGTTATTATATGTACAGTTTGACATTGTCCTGTAAAGTAAATCAACGTTTTCTGTGATATTCTACTTCAGACATTTCTTCTATTATACTGTTGTAAACATAAGGCAAACATTCACTTGTAAATATGTGTTGTCTCTGTAGAA